TGTTTCATTTTAAAACCAGGAGGCTCGTTTTTCTCGTGTTCCATAGTTTGCTATGTTTGCTGCCTGATCCTGGGACCTGTATAACTATTAGCCAGCTTTTCCCTTATGGACAACAACAAGAAGACTTTGAGCTGCCGATTGGAGATGATAGGTCTGATCCCCTCACTCTTGGAGAACCACTCCACTTCTATGATAGCACCGTGTATACTATCTATGTAAGTACTGCTGCCTTGGGAGTACCAGCTATTAGTGTACCGTTATTATACAGTAAGTGGATTGAAAAATATGCCTGTTGAGACAATTGGTTGTTTGGGCTTTGCACAAAGATGTCCTTTCATAAGCATATTTTAAAGTCAAACCCCTTGGTTTGTGTTAGGGTACGCTATCTAAGCACCCTTTAAGCATAGGAATCTACCACAGAAAGGCTGGGTAGGGTGCAGAGCTAAAACTGGGAGTCAGATGTATCTACTACTTTATTTAGAATTGTCAACGCAGTGCCTTGTTTGAAATAATCCAGAGCCCGAATGCCTGTAGAGTTTGGATTCTTTTTTCAAGCACTCGAACTTGCTAATAGAATCCATGCATTACTCTGCGAATGGGATCCTCCCACAGTACACACAGCATATTGAGAACATATGCCCTTTAAGGTAGAAGTTATATTTATCGTAAACGCTGTGTATTCTGCAAGTCATTATTTGAACAATTTTTATACAGTCTTCATAATCTGGAAACAATAAGTACTGCAATTGTGCTTATAAGTGTCTGTGTGTATCATTTTATTCCCACACTGTATGGTATGTTCACTGAAACGTCTATTACACTGAACTAAAAAGACTTCAATAATTCGGTTTTATATTTTACAGCTTCGCTATTGTCACAGTTTGGCTGTTTTGGGCCGAATGATGAAATACATTGTTAAATTCACCACAGTGATATAAATCCTAATTAATTTGTAGTCAGTGAATATTTCATTTTAAACATTATAAAATATTTTTGATGGTATTATCTAACTTGTATTATTAAGCCTTGTATGATTAGTTTTGTTTTCTGTTGCACTTGTCATTGTTAAAATAATTCAGAAATGTTAGGTAACATTGTATACATACAAAATATTTATACATTTAAAATGCCTCCTCTCAAAAGCATGTTTTAAATGTGCTTCGATAGATAGCCTGATGCAATAATGATGCACATTTGAATGACTGCACCACCATTAAAGGGACAGTTTAGTCACCTTAAGGCACCATAACAACTTCACCAAAATTAAGTTGTTATGATGCCAGGAGGCCCCAGGCTCACTTTTACCACAAGGGATTAAACCGTTCTTTAACGATTTAATTTCAAAGTTGCCTCCAGCGTCGATCTCCATTTCACCACAGGCGGCATCCGGTTTCTGAAATTTCACTTTCAGAAAACCCGGGGGCAGACTAGGTAGGGACAATGCTGATTGGGTGGGAGCGGTCAGCTGATGCTCTCAGCCAATCAGTGACCCCCCATTCACAAAACTGACTTGGAAAAGGTACATTTTCTTCCAAGCCAGTTTTGTGAATGGTGAGTCAGTGATACTCACAGACCTCATGAATAAATTGCGCTCTAGTTGAAATCCTGAATAAGTTCACAAAAGGTAAAAAAAAAGTTCAAAAAATGAAAAGTCCTAGATCCAAATCCCTTTGAGAAGGAGGGGGAGAAGCAATGAAGGCTATGAACATGCTTTATCACTTTGAATTCTCACTTTAGTAAATAATCCTGATAGGGTTGAAGACTCCTTCAGGATTAGAGGTTAGGGATGGAATATGCTGTACCTCAAGCCATCTTTATCCTACGAACCCCTAAACACACAGAATGCTTATTTTGTTTTGGGGGGGAGGGGGGATAGAGGAGGTGTGGTTTATTAACTCTATTGGAGTGCAGCATCATAATAGTGTCACCCTTTTTTTTTCTTCGAAGTTGAGTTTTTTTTTTTTATGAATAAAGTTTTATACGTCACCATATAGAAATCACTTGCGATTTTCAAGGAAAGCATGCATCAATGGTAAGAATCATTTTTAGAAAGCTCACAGTAACTTTGCAAACAGCCATGCAGGACTGAGGTAGCATCACCAAAATTAAGAAAATCGTAAACTGAGACCCTTGAGTCCTTCATCAATATCCATTAAGCACTTATAAACAGATTATGTAGTCACTATGAAATGGTGTCTCTTTCCCACGGGCCTACACAACTATCTCAAGTCAAGCCACAGTAACAATGCAAACTGTCACGCAGGACTGCGATAAAGTCGTCAGTAATAAGGAAAATGTAAACTGGGACCCTTGAGTCCTTCACCTTTAAACATTATGCTCTTATAAACAGATGATATAGTCACTATAAAATGATGTATCATTCCCAAGGGCCTATGCAACCATCTCAAGTCAAGCCCTAGCTAGGAACAATAAAGCGGGGCTAGATCGACCCATCCTTAGCTCGCTACTGTCATGCGTCAATGGGTAAGGTTACTAAAGTAGCAGCAGGTCAATTGCCAAACCAGGTCCAGCACCTCGACATTTACCAGAAAGCTCCTCACATCCTATCCAGTGGTCAGCTTCTCCTTACCGGCGACTCAGGGCCATGTCCCCCTATCTGGCCTGTACCCCTACCCCTCCCACTCCCATTGTCGTACCCAAACCCTACGTCAGCAAAGCTTGGAAGTCTGGAGTCAAGCAGCCAATGAGTCCAAATATCTGTGAATGTCTGTGCACGTCCCAGGGGCGCAAGGGTCAACTCCTCTAACCGTTGCAGGTCCTCCATTTTCTCAAACCATAATGTCAGGGCCTGGGATTCCTCTTTTTTCCAGTAAAGGGGGATAACCTGTATGGCAGTGTTCACGGTCCATATGGACGTGGATCTTTTGTATTTGACTATTGTAGTGGTGGTGTGGTGTAGGAGGAATGGCGCCGGTTTGAAAGGTGGTGGATTGTCAGAGAACTTCCCTAGGATGGCACTAATTGCCCTCCAGAAAGGTAGGATTTTAGGGCAGTCCCACAATACATGCATGAACGTGCCCGATGCGGCCTGGCAGCGCTAACAGTCGCCATCTAAGGCAGGATTAATCATCTGGAGGAGGAGTGGTGTTTTGGACCATTGTGTTAATACTTTATAGGCTGTCTCCTGAGTTCTGGAGTAGATCACAAATTTTCCCCCATTAGTTGTGTGGGGGTTTCCCCAAGGGCCTCTTCCCATTTCCCCATGTAGCTAGGGGCCGGTAGGTTCCCTTGTGTTTGAGTAGGGAGTATAGGGAAGAGACTGCACGGGGTTGTGGGGCACGGTCTATACAATTTTGTTTGAAGGAGGTAAGAGCCTTGCAAGTTAAGTTTTTTTTTAATGTTGTGGGGAAATTTATGGGATAATAATAGTAACAGTGAGAATTGCCCACTAATTCAATTCTCAGATCCCAAAGAACGTTTATCGTAAGTGAAATGTATTTCATATAATTAATATCACAATGTATAAAAATAGATTTTATTTATGATAATCAATAATTAACAAATAATATTATGTAACATGCATAACAATAATCAATGAATATTCAGTATAAAATGGTATGCAATACAAAGGAATGGGTATTACGTTTCAATGGCTAAAAAGCATTTTCTGTCAAGACTTTATTTATGACTATCTTTCACAGACTTAAATGAAACTTTTCACAGCAAAGAACAGAATTCCTCAGAGTGCAGCGTAAGGTCGTAAAGTTTAGCAGACAGTTAGAATAACCCTTTCAATGCTGGCTAGATCTCCTAGGTAGTTAAGATCTATTCTTATGTAAATTTTAAATAAAATAACATTTAAACCATTTCCTGAAAACAATCCAATAAGAGAATCTACATATTATATAAGCAGATTTTTAATTTGTCTAAAAGATATCTATCTTAATTTAGAGCAAATCAATACACCTGGATAAAAACAGCGGTATGCTAACACGTGATAATATCACATCAATATATAATTATTCTTAATTCCACCTGCAGAATGGAATGTTTATAACTATATATTCTTAGTTAACTAAGATTTCTTAATATGGAAATCTGACCGTGCTTTATCCAGTCATATATAATGCTATTAATAAATTTTAATTAATTTAATTTAATTAAATGAAACCAGTATAATTACCAGTTGAGTAGATATTTCATCCGATTGGTAGTCTCAGGAATTTATTTGGATGTGTCTCTGCATGGAGGTTGGAGTCCCCAAACTTCCAATTCCTCTCTTTTCTCTCCTTTGCATATCTTGCATCTGCCTCCTTCGTCTTGTCTCCCTATCTTCCCTTTGTCTTAACTTTTAAAGGGCCAGACTCTCTGTACGTCATCAGTTGATAACCCAATAGAAGCACTAGAGGTGTGGTTATCTTCCAGATCGCAAATTAGTTATTTGGTCTGTAGAGGGCAGTCTTGTCCCACTAAACATACCTATCCAGGAAAGAGTTAACTTTTCCTGGTGGCTATTTTGACGTCATTTTGCGTTATCTTTATAGCGCCATAATTTAAAATTTCAAAGGATTTCTTAAATTTTGTCCAGACTTAGCGTCTGCAATTCCTGCCATAATTTCTGATATGACAGATCATGAACTAAGTTTACCCTTTTCCATACAATGGTACCTTATATGTATAGACAGTTAAATATTAAATTATTTAATCTTCTCTGTCACAATTGTCTGGGTTTAGGTTTGATTATATTCCATTAGCATTAGACAGTCTGTCCAACCCCCTTCCTTATCACTTGTTTGTATATACTATGCATTCCTCAGATCTGGGAAAGTGGTTAGCTTACAGATAGAAATATAGTGTCTTTTTGTTAACTTGAAATAACAAAATGGAGTCTGGTCTGTTCAGAGTGACTCAGAATATACACTTTTAGTTTCTATCATAGCACAAAATGTCTGCTGATATAAATACTCTGACATAACCCCCCTTTAGTGCATTTCGTAGCCAAAATTAATTTAGCTTATGAATAAGCACTATAGAAGTTATCAGACATATTGTGCAATCACATCATTTCTAACATAGTACATTATTTTCAGTTGAAAAATGTCTTTGGGAGTTACATATGGTATGGCCAATAAAAAGCAAATCTCCATACGTTCCGGATCAATTAAGAGAGGTATAGCGCTCCCCATCTCAAAGGCCAGATTTAATTGCATAGGCTCAATTGTCTCTCCATCCACATTGGCAAGCATCGCATGAACAATATCCTTGGATACAAAATACAGAGGTATGCGTCCCCCTGCCAATTCGATCATTCCAGTTTGCACTTCGTCGAGAAAAGCAAGTGTGTGGAACAATATTGGGTCATGCAGAAATAAAAGTTCACGCTTAAATAAGTCATGACTTTGGTGCAACTCAGTGGATTTGGCAATTAATTCCGAATGCAAATTTGTTGTAACAACTGTGTCTTCCACAATAGTTAACACGTCTTGGAGAAGTGTTCTTTGCTGTTGTATCACCTGATGAATATCGTTAATGTGTTGCTTTAGCGCATAGATTTCCATATCCAGCTTTTGGACAGTAATAGAGTTGGCTGCAGACATTCCAGTTGCGACAACTGCACCGACAGTGGCACAAACTAATGCAACAATTATAGCGGTGAGGAACCTTTTGGGTCGGTTGCTCATCGGAATAGAACTGGATACAAATGGTTTCCGGGCTTGCTCCAAGATGTTTCGCACACGGTCCTGTGCTCTTTGGAGGTGCATCTGGTACCAAGTCTGTAACTCAGGAAGCTGCATCGATGAAATGTTGTATGCCTTCTCGATGGAAATCTTGGGGTCCAAGCTGACGAACACACGTCGGGTCAGGATCCTCTTCTCTGTTAAGATGAACCCTGGTGTCTCTTGAATCAGGATGCCGGAGGATGGTCCCATCTCTGCGATCGGGTCGGTCCGTAGCTCTTGGCACAGGAGCAGTACGATCCAGAAACACGCCACATCCTTCTTGGACATCTTTCGACAGTCACGGATCAGGAACTCGTTTCAGACTTATCTACTAATGATTCAAGGTTTGTTAAGCATACAAACTTATAACAGTGTGACATCACTTGGCCTAGGACAACACATTATTACGATTCATCAACATATGTATTCTGTCTAATTCTATTTTTATAACTTCATCCCTCACTACATTTATTACTGACTCTTCAGCAATTTGCCTATAGCAGTTAAACAAGCTAGTAACCTGCTTATAAAATGTAGTTATTGGATGGCAAGGAAATGGTTAATGACATGAACGTACATGAGATCATGGCACATCACAACATTTCACATCATACTATACCACGTGAATCAAGCATTCATCCAGGTTAGTCGTTCACCCTTCTGCGTCTGAATCCACACCTATAATCCTTAATTGAGATTTAGGATGACAAGCACGCAACTGGTTAATGTGAACCCACTTTTCAATAAAATCACCATCCTTAGGAATTTTTATCTTATACGCTACTGGGGAAATTTTGTCAATGATGACATATGGCCCTTTCCAAGAAGGTAAAAATTTATTTTCCTTGACTTGATTTCGCGCAAAGTTATACAGATAGACTTGATCTGTTATCTCATATTCCTTTTTCGTGGTTTTTAAATCGTAATAGGTCTTAACCCCTGTCGCTGCTTTTTCTAGATTCTTTTGGGCAAAAGCAAATGCATGCTGTAAATGCTTGCGCAAATCTTCGATATACTGATGCGTAGTGGCAGCATTGATCAAGTTATGATCCGAAGTACGATATAGTAAATGCTGTGGTAAAACCATCTTTCTTCCTGTCATCAATTCAAAAGGTGACAATTTGGTAGCAGTGCTAGGTGTAGCTCTAATCGCCATTAAAACTAGGGGCAATTTAATGTCCCAGTCTTTACCAGACTCCTTAACATATTTCTTCAGAATATTAGCGATAGACTGGTTATATCGCTCTACCCCCCCACTAGACGCAGCACGGTATGCAATATGTAGCTTTCGTTTAACACCTAGAATCTTAGCCATTACTTCGCTGGTAAAAAGACTACCTCTGTCTGACTCAATTCTTTGAGGCAGACCGAACCTGGAAAAGACATGGTTAATCAACAAAGTGGTGCACACGGTACTCGTGTTCTCTTTACAAGGCAAACATTCTATCCACTTTGTGTACATACATGTAACGGTTAACATGTATTTGTTACCTCTTGAAGATCTTGTTACAGGACCTATAAAGTCAATTTGAATATCAGACCAGGGTAATGACACCCCCCTCTTCTGAAGTGGTGCACGATGGGTTGGACCATGGGGTTGATATTGCGGACAAATCAAGCATCCCTGACAGTATGTCTTAACATCCCTTAACATGTGTGGCCAATATGCATAATCACGCAATATCTCATATGTGATCTTATCACCACGATGCCCAGATGTAGGTGCATCATGTGCGTGTTGGAGCATTAACCCTCTGTATACAGTTGGGACTACCCATTGTTGTATACCATGTTTAGAAGTTCTGACCAGTAACCCATCCATGATACTAAATTGGACTTTATATCTCATCAAGATTCGTAAATCTTCATTATCTTTGCAATCCTCATCTGTGATGGGATTGGCAGTAGGGTCTTCTATATGTCTATAGAATATGCCTATGACGGGATCACTCTTTTGACTAGTAATCAGGTCCTCACTAGGAGCTTCTTGACTCCATTGCACGACATTTAAGTCGGCATTATCTCTAGCCTGTCGTCTAGTTATGGCTTCAACATGAATTGAACCCATAAGATCATCAATGTTTAGGGTTTCACCATTGATGGCAGCTTGTTTTGCCAGTGAATCAGCTAAGTCATTACCATCCTTGTCAATACCTTCTATTTTAGAATGGCCTTTGGTTTTCTTCCAATATATGGATAAACCATTTTCCTTAACCAGCTCATCGATTTTACAAAACAATTTCCCATGTTTAACAGGTTTGTTATTGCTTTTCAGCATTTGGTTACGTTTCCAGCTAGGCAGATATTCGACGAAACTGTTGCGAACATAGTTGGAATCAGTTATAATAACAAATTCTTTGATACCATATTCTATTGCCATTTGAATGGTCTTATATACTGCACAGAGTTCGGCTATCTGACTGCTTTTGGGACCAATATTGTATCCTATAGATACATTGGGATAATCACCTATCCAGGCGATTCCGATACCTGCAACTAACTTCCGTTCAGCACCAGCGACGTGGTGATATGAACAACCATCAATGTATACCCACGGTAGTGGTCGACAGTATTCCTCGTCATAAACTTTATAAGGAGATAGCAATTGCTCTTCTAGGAAGTCATCTCCGGTGTCATTATCATCCAGAGATGGAGCAGTACAGTCATGTAATTCTGCTAAACCTTGGGCAACTGGGCTTCTCTTATTATGTTTATAACGGACTTCTAACGGCCATCCCTGTAAGGATAGAGTCCATGCAGTAATCCGACTGTTAGAGAGATTACCGTCTCTAATTCTTTCACTCTGCAGATACTGTAGAGGTTGGTGAGCTGTTTCTACAATTATTTTCTCACCTTGGATATAGCTACGAAAATTTTGTAGTGCCCAGACAGTCGACAATAACGCCTTCTCACACGTGTTGAATTTAACTTCAACAGGTGACAAAGTCTTGCTAGCATATGCAATAACTTTGTTTAAACTATCCTGCTTCTGATACAGAACAGCACTTATGCTTAAATCGGTATAACCTGTCTCCAGATAGAAGGGTTTACCCCCTCTGGGTATGCTAAACAGGGTGCCTGAGTGAGCTTCCTTCTCAGTTCACTTACCGCTTGGTCCTGAGGCTCCCCCCAGTTCCAGGTAGTTTCCTTTTTAAGCAGGTGTAAGAGTGGTTTAGTTATTTCTGCATAGTTATCTATAAACTTACGGGAGTAGTTAGTCATACCAAGGAACGATCTTAATTCCCTGATGTTTGAAGGTGTTTTAGCCTTGAGTATGGCTTCAACCTTCTTCCTCTGGGGATTTAATCCTTCAGAAGTTACCTCATGTCCGAGGAAATTGACATGGGTGCGACACCATTGCGCCTTTTGTAAAGACAGTTTAATCCCTGCTTCTCTTAACTGAGTGAGAACATGTCTAATCTCTAAGATATGCTTATCAAAGGAAGTGCTTTTCAGCAAGACATCGTCGACATATGATAACGTTCCTCTCTCGAGTGCGTCAGGCATAGCTTTATGCATGAACACAGCGAATTCATGACCAGAGTTTATGTAACCGAAGGGCATACGGGTCCAGGTATACTGCTGCTTTCCAAATGTGAAGGCCAATTTGTATTGGTCTTCAGTATGGACTGGTACAGTCCAATATCCCTGCGCACAGTCAATGGCAGTGAATATTTTGGATCCCTGCATTTGTACCAAACATTGGTCTATGTATGGTGTTGGCCAACCAGACATATAGACGCGTTTATTTAGCTGTCGTAAGTCAGCGCATAAACGCCATTGTCCATTAGGTTTCAGAATCCCCAAGATCGGATTATTATACGAACTGTGCACTGGACATATAATGCCCCTTTCCTTTAAATTCTGAATGATGTAGACCATCATATGACGCTAATGGGAGTCTATATTGTTTGATAAATACAGGTGGTAAATTTGGATCAGTTTGTATTCTGGCTACGTGGAGGTTAGTTAACCCACAGTCATAGGAATCTTTGGCAAAAATATCTTGGAATTCCAAAAGGATTTCCTTTAGCTGCTGTCGCTCAGCATCATTGGAGCAACCGTCAGCTAAAGATATTTGCTCTTCTAGCCTTTCCTGAAATCCTGGAAAGATTTCAGGCTGGCCTATCTCATAAGCTTCTTCAAGCCTAGAAGTTA